TAACAGTGAGGCGAGATATCAAGGCTTCAAACCGTGCACTGTCTTCCAATCTCCGTTGGTGGTCTCTCTCTGCCTCTGCTTGTCTTCTGCGTTCGTCTGCCGCACGTCTGTTAGCTTCATCCTCGCGCCTTTCATCTCTCATAAACTTCATTAAAGCAATTATCTCTGGAGACAACGCTGAATATCGAGGTGAAGGGCTGCGCGATGATGTGGGAGCTGGAGCGTCATGGTCAGCCTGGTCATCCATCTCTGCGGAGCTATCATCCGACTGACTCATCCGGACGCTGGTTCCACGGCTACGTAAGGCACGAGACATAACTACTTCATCTGTGTACTGTGTCTAAATCAGTGTTGACCGGTCAGCCCGTCGTATCAACAAGATCTCAGACAAAAATTTAATTAAATACACAGATAAGTAGATTATATATATAAAATATATATAAGGGAGCCGCCGCGGTCAGTGAGTGTTAGTACATGTATGTGTGTGTGCGCGCGTCTGGGTGGGGGCAGTCTTCTCGAGCTGTGAGGGGGGTGGAGAAGACGACTAGCGGCAGTTACCCTCCAGGCTTCGCGAGGGGAGGTGTACTAAGGTCTACTCCTTACAAATGCCCAGAACATGCCGTGTACCTTGGGAATCCTTTAGAACAAGGTCACACATGTATGGCACGAAACACACAATGCACTAAACACTTCACAGAAAACCACTGTCACTGACAAAGTTGCTAAATTCTTCGAGGAGAGGTGGCGGGCGGCGGTTGACACAGGGCAAGGGGTCCATAAGCAGGCTTTCCACAAACTTTGCACTGTCACTCGTAATTATCCAGTAAAACCGGTTCACTGCGTCATGTTCATGTTCTAGGTAATAAGTTCAATATACAGGAGCGAACACAAACACCTGTATAGTTTGTAGGTTCGATTTACTGGATAAGAGATATGTACACAAGGAGAGTAGTGCTCTCCGACCTGTCTGCTTCTCAACTGCTCTATAGACGACGTATGGCAAGTGAGACATTAACAGCTTCCATACGTCGCCAGGCACATTAATTAGGCATGTGGGACATCTTAAATATATTGCCACACGCTACTAGCCAGGCTGAATAAATAGTACATAAATGGAGCACATACATAATATACATAGCATAATATAAATACAGCATACAGAATATACATACAACTATATCCATATGGCTAAGTGCTTGCTTTTCATTTCTTTATTTACCAAAATATTGTGGATCAGTTACTCGTTATTTAACACATACATGCACTTAGAGCATCAAGATTGTTTCGTAGGCATGACTATTGGTTAATTGAAACCCCAAAAATATGTTTCACATATATTATGCATAAACATTGTAAACATATCTATGTGATTATTGTAGTATATAACATATATTTAATGTCTGAACAGATTCCCAAGAGTTATGCATATTAATGCATAGATTTTGTAAGCATATTTATGTGAAGTGACGTAAAACCACATAGTAAAATACCTGGACAAATTCCCGAGAGTTAGGAAACGAAGTCTATGTGGCCCCAACGAGGTTACACCAGAGAGCTAACTCTCCCGCCACCCCCTACAAGGCTCCGTCGGGGGCGGAGATTTAATTCTTGACCACAGGTTAATACCGTGTCCAACCTCCATCTGCTGCTATAACTTCATGCAATCTGGTGGGCATGGAATCTACCAGATTGCTGCAGATGTTCGGCCTCCTCCTTATTCCCTCCCACACATTATGTGCGTGTCTCCTCACTGCCTCACTCGTTTTCTCCTCAACATCCCATTCAACAACCATATGCGCCCATAGATTTTCTATTGGATTACAATCGGCTCCTTTAGGGGGCCAGTCCAATAGAATAATCTGCGGGTGCGCCTCAAACCAACGCTTGACTGCCTGACTTGTATGTATTGGACTGCGGTCTTGCACCATACATATAGGCTGTGGGTCTGGGATGGCATATGAGTTGCTGGGAGGATGGTTAGCAGTCCTGTTGAACTGGCAGGTAGACAAAATAGAAAACTCACAGCCAAACTGTAAGAAAACCCATGGACAATGAGACATTAGTAAAATATACTAGGTCATTTTAGCGCGTGCACACACATTATATACAGACCTATTGGTCCTTGCGAGGCTGTTTGGTTATGCTATGCTAACTAGTTTGCTAGGGTGAGGGAAAGTGTATATATATATATATATATATATATATATATATATATATATATATATATATATATATATATATATATATATATATATATATATATATATATATATATATACACATATGTAACCGGTCGGAATTACTTTGACTTTAATTTCTCACTTGGCTTGGGGTTTATTAATTATGAGATGGAAATTGCAGTGGAAGCGCCCCTTGGAGAAAAATCCCGAACCAGCATAAGAACACTTAAATTTACTACCAAAATGAATTGTTCGTGACCCGTGGAAGGATAGCGTCTGTGACTGGGATGAATGAGACACACTGTAAAATTTAGACAATTATATTCCCTCCAACACTACAGACACAACCAAATAATGGTACACCAACATATGCACACCTCTTAACCTGAACGTAAAACACTACTTTGGGGAATAAAAGTTATACATGATACTGAAATTATTAGAAACTTAGACAATGCCTGATTAGACAACAATAAATTCAAAGTATTAAAAAATGTTGCTTGTGCACATGAAACAGGTCTTAAGGGCTTTCAACAAAATAATATCAATCACTGAGGAAATGGTATAAAAAAATAAGAAATTATTAATTCCACTATGAATAGGCGTAAAGGGCACTCAATAGAATTAGGTTACACCAACAGATGCAGGCCTTAAGGGTTTTGAACAAAATAATATCAATCACTGAGAAAATGGTATTAAAAAAATAAGAAATTAATAACTCTACAATGAATAGGCCTTCAGGGCACTCAACAAAATTATATTACCCCAACAGATGCACACCTCCTAACCTAACTTAAACACTACTCTGGGGAACAAAGGTTATACCTGAGATTGAAATTATAAAGAAATATTAAATGCATTAAAGGAACTAAATCACAGTATCACTTACAACATAAGGGAGAAAACTCATCTGAAAAACAGTTCCCTCATTCTCTGGTTTCAATTAGCGACACAAACATTAAAAGCAATACTATCACAATTATTTAAGAAATATTAATTACACACAGCAAGTTTATCACCAGATTAAGAAGTTACTGAATCCACCAATACCCTTAAACACATGCTCCCTAACCTAACACATAGATTCTGCCTACACTCCGGAGTTTCTTAAGGCACAACCAGCAGGCACCCGTAGTTTAAGGCCCAAACCAGCCTTTCTCAACCTTGGAAATGTACCTCTAAGTTCCACTGGACTCTTGGTCCCAGCTGTGTGGCCCTGTATCACTTAGCTGGCTTCACTTTACCCCCAGTACATCCATGAAACGGAAGGGAGTGAGCCAATCAGACCTTGTACAGTTGAGAGAAGCTTTGGCTTCCCGTTAGTAAAAGGTTTTCACTAAGCTGCTTGAAGATATGTGGTATTGTGAGCCGAGGTAGAGGAGAGCTAATGACCCCAAACGATCGTCACGTCGTTAGTTGGGCACCCAGACGGCTAGGTTCACTCCAACTCTCACCATACTCTACAGGTGGCTCAAACCCAGGTCAGTGGACGGTCATACAGCTCGTTTCACCACCACTCGTCTCATACCGCCAGTGGACGTTATCATACCCCAGACGTTTCACACAGCGTGGGCTCTATAGAGCCCTGAAAAAATCCGAGCTGTTAGCTATTGTCTCACATCACCGTTTGTTCCTACCGCCCTATCTGGCTTTCTCTGAGATTGAACAAAACTTACTTGTTAATATTGATATTAAATAACGAAGGCACCAGTTCACGTGGTCCCTTTCTCCTGGGTACAGAACAGAGATGGTCTTCTGGCGTGACCTCCCTCACAACTCCCCAGCCACGCTTGCTCACTGGTTCACGCTTTTCATGAGTGACTTATTTACCAGACGATTAACAGCTTAATTAGGACATACGCAACATTTTCAGACTGGGAAACGATCTATGATTACTTTTAATTTAATAACTAATATTTAATGTCATAATTCGCCTCCATATTAATTCGGTAAATTACATTTAATATCGTATAGGCCTAGATCCACAACCTCTCGTTACGTGCAGGAGCGCGGTCTTCCCTCAGACGACCTTGAACCCAGTATCACCAATGGCTCGGCATTTGAAATTACACTGAAATTTCTGAATATTACATATATATATATATATATATATATATATATATATATATATATATATATATATATATATATATATATATATATATATTTAACTCTTCTCAACAAATGCAAGGATGTTGCCCCATGAGAGTTACCTTTGTGCCTCCATGTGCCCAGGTGGGATGGTCAAAGTATTACACTATAAGTGTGTCAAATGAGGAGTGACTGATCCACATGTAATTTAAGGTTTTTGAAATATGTAGTTAAATTAAACACGAGTTTTCATATAGTCATGAGAATGATGGGAAATAAAAGATATAGATGGGGTGTGGTGGAATCATCGTGGTCTGGCCACAAACGCTGTAAACGACATGTGGATTCACTGAGTGGTTTGGAAGTGTTTATTTCCATTCATAATTTCGTAACAACAACCTATGGTAATTTTTTCTTCGTGTTCATATATAATGAAGATAATAAAGAGTATAAAATGCCATATACAATATTTATACATAATATCATCTATACAGCCGTACTATGACTGTGTTGTTCGTGCGTGTGTTGCCTCATAATAGTTAGAGTGGGTCCCCGTCTAGAAAGGACACTGTATTAACCTCCAGCACCGACCCAGGTGGGCTAGAGAATATGGTTTCCAAGTGTACACATAAAAAATATGAAATTCTTACATTAGCAACACACAACATAATAAGAATAAAAATCACATGTTACATTTTTGTGCATCAATTTGATTTTGCATGTAAACAGAAGCTTACACAGGACTACAACGAGGTTCAACAATAGAGTTCTTAGGCCAGATGTAGCTGAACTGACCCTATCCGGCTGTTGAGTGATTCGGGCTAACTTTGATACGAAAAGTCAATCCTCTCATGAGACGAGGCAAGATCTGAGGGCCAGAGTTAACGTGGACGTCCAATGAACAGTGATACCGACGCAATTGTCCTCATGAGATATCGATCAAACACTACCCGTTTGTTGTTCTGAAATAATTCATTTAAACTGCACCAGGTCAATTGTATCCGTACACGCCTGGCCGTCACTAAAGTCTAGTACAACTACATCCTATCAAAACTGAGGCCTAACCAGAATAAGACCTCCAACAATCTGAATACTCAACTCATCAGATGGTTTCAACTCAAGTGAAACACATCTTCCAACCTCCATGCCCTTACCACACTCTGACAATCCAATTTGACAATATCCTCCCACAAAAATAAAATAAAAATTTACAATCACCTACACACTCACAGGAGAAAAAAAAAATCACAATTATCTTCCTCAATCATGATTATAACAACCACGACCGTGATTATAACAACCACGACTATGATTATAACAACCATGGCCATGATTATAACAAGCACGACTCTGACTATAACAACCACGACCATGAATATAACAACCACGACCATGATTATAACAACCACGACCATGATTATACAACCACGACCATGATTATAACTACCACTACTATGATTATAACAACCACGACCATGATTATAACAACCACGACCATGATTATAACAACCACGACTATGATTATAACAACCATGTAATGAGACAAAATCTCACATGAAGAGGTAAGTTAGGAGTTTATAGTAGTAGAGTATTATAGCGAGAGGAAATGGTAGCGTGTCTCGAGGGTGTGATGTCAACACTGTATATTAACACAGGCACAGTACAAGTGTAGTATATAAAACACCAATGCGTGTTACAGCTTTATTTTACTAGTTCAATAGGGGGGATTAATAGGGGGGTTCGTACACAATTTATGATAGACTATGGTATTCTCGTATAACCTAACCTCACAATTAGAATGGGCACTTCACTAAGTCGATCGTTGGGGAGGTTCGGGATCACTGCACTTCTACAGTCTACACAGCCAGCACTTACTGTTACACGTGGAGTTGACAGCACTTTGTCGATGGACCCGGGCTGAGACTTCGTCACACTTAATGGCGGTCTTCTCTCGAGCGGGACTCGGGGACCTGGTAGCTGGCCCTTCCTGGTTACAGACACTCTGGTGAGAGGAGCTCCAGCCCCTATATATTGGTCGAGCCGGGGGGTGACCTCTCCTACTGAACTGGGTGTGTCTTGACCGGGTTGTTGGGTCAACAGGAGTGCTGGCTAATTAGCGGGTCCTTGAATTACTAAGGTCATGACGCCGGGTAGAGCTGATCGAGTGGTGGTGAGAATTCTGGTTCCCTAGTGTCAGGTCTGGACGGTTGTGTGCAGGTGTCGTCCTGCCCAGGTGTCTTGGTCAGGTGCGGTTGTAGGTCACCCTGCTAACTCAAGTCATTAGCGGACGAGGTCAAGTCCCTAGGGTCGACCTGAGGTGTGTCAACCCGGGATGTGGTGGTGCCACGAGGTCTGTAGTGCTTGCTGTTACATGTGACATAATTCTGGGCTGTAAGCTTTGGTCTGACAAACAATCATTACACCTCCCGCCAAGACCAAAGCTTCACCACAGACTGATGTCACATATAGACATCAACATCACGTGTGGTATCAGAGATAATCCCTGGGGCGATAACATAGTCTCACATTTACAAACAACCATCTCATAGGTGTATGTTTTTCTACTGGCGCTAGTTTGATCTGACAAAGCTCACTATACCTCCCGCCAAGATCAAAGCTTCTATGCCAGACAGTGGATGTCAAAGCGAGTGCACATCCTGCGAAAATAGCTACTGAGATGCAAAGTATACACCTCACATCCTACCATAGTCTGATATTTAAAAATGTAAGCGGCTAACTAAATATACGGAAAAGGAAAGATGGATGTAGATATGAAGGGGAAAGAGAGCGCCTAGGCAGGTGCTTGTCGGAGAGCGTCACTTAAGGAAGTTAAATGAGGGTACACAGTCGGAGGTTTGAAAGGTTATGCAATGGTGTTGCTTGCCCTGGCTTATTTCTGCTTAGGTTCCCTAGCGTTAGTATCTTCAAGCCTGGAATAGATTTACATACTTGTTGCTTCAACTGTTAAACTCTTGCGCAGGGCAGCACATACAACATATATAATAACAACATACATGGCCGCTTAAAAAAAAGGGGGGGGGGAAGGTTGGGGCAAAATACAACTTGTGAACAAAAAGAAATATTTGTACATACTAAAAAGGCAGCAGAAATTATTAACAAGATACAATGGCATAAACAAAAACTCGTCAGCATTCGTCGAGATCCCGGGTGGTCCGTCACCACCTCCACCAATCGGTGTCCAGCATCAGGGTGGACGACGCAGTAGATGTGGTGGTTGGCGTTTCCTGTCCCGTCCTGCGGTCTGCCGCGGTGTGTCGCGTGCCTCACTTCCTCCACTTGAACTTCTGTGTGGAGCGGCAGTTCCTGACGCATTCCAGATGGATTTTTCTAGTCCCATCTGAGTTTCCTCTGTAGAGTCTCATTTTCCGTCGTGGTCCAGATGGATTTTTCTAGTTCCATCTGAGTTTCCGCCCTTCCCGGCCGGGATCAAAGCCGGTCCACTGCTTGGGGTGTCATCGCTTTGGATGGCGTGTAGGGCAGGGTCCACGGACAAGAGTTCGCCCTCCGTACGTGAGTGTCGGCGAGACCCCTGACCGTCCTGTCCCACACCCTCACAGTGGTGAATCCCTCCCTGGGTGGGCCCCCCAGGGTTTGCTTGTTTCTTCCTCTACTTGTAGTCAGGTCACTTCTGTTTCGTCCCCGATGGTGTGGTAAACACCGGCGAGGCAGATCCCGGATGGGCCAAGGTCAGCCATTACTTGTCTGGTACCTGGTGGATCCATTCCCGGAGTGGAAGTGCGTGGGACCAGTTGACAGGTCCTGAAACGTAGGGAGCTGTCGTCTGCAGCGCCACTGGGACCTCTAGTTGTTTGTTGCCTGTTGCTTGCTGCTCCTGAAGTTGCAGGTGGGGTTTTCGGGATTTTCTCCTGGGTTCCAAGGGGACTTCCTGATTCCCTGCCTGGAGCTGGGAGCTGCGCTGGTCCTGCATGGCGTAGCTTACTCAGGCTGATGGTACCCATAGATGTTGTCAGTCAGTATTGTGGGCTGTGAGACCGTAGCCTCGGTGCGTGTCTCGTCGTTCAGCAGGCGAGCGACGAGACACAGCCCAGTGTCTTCAACCAGATCGAGGGCCAGCATTATGCAAGCCCGTTTCTGGAGCTTGGGGCTTGCAGTGTCGACGTGAAAGCGTCACCCATTCGCCGCGGGGTTGCCCGCTGCGTGTCCCGCTCGTGTCGGGCATCCATTATGAGTCAGGATGCGTTGGTCTCAGCTCATCTGGTAGGGGGTCGGCTGCAGCTGTGGTGGTGTCATCTCCGACTTTTGTGTGGAGTCAGGGAGACCTCGCCCAGGCCCGTGAAGAGCAAGGGCAGTGCTGACTCTGTAGCTTAGTAGAAAGACAAGATCCCGGGGTGAAGAATCAACAATTAGAAGTGCCCCTAGACTCGTTACTTTAATCTATGTTCTGTGACCTGGTGTTATATCTATGAGCCCTAATCTGATCAGGTCTTACTGGTACAAGTGGGGCAGTAGCTCGGGGAGTTTTCTGATTATTACTTGGGGTGTGAGGTACCTGATTGTTCTGAGGGGGGTGGTCAGCTGCTGGTGGAGGGATAGGGTGTTGGGAAGGGAATGTTACCCCTAGAGGGGGCTGGTTGGTGAGGCCTGATTTGTTGAAGACGTCATCGTCGACAGTTGCCAGCTTCAATCTATTCACATGCACAGTTTCCTTACGTCCCCCCTGGCAAAGCGGGGAAATAGTGAAGTTTACTTTGCTGGGTTGGGCTGTTACTCTATATGGGCCCTTCCATCTCTGTTGCAACTTAGAGGGGATATCGGGGGAGGATGATTCGTAAGTTAGGAAGACCAGGGTACCTACGGTAATATTGGAAGGGGTGACCCTGAGGTTATAGTAGGTGGCGTTGTGTAAGTGACCTTTCTTGTTTAGTTCCTGCACCCGAGTAAAGACCGTTTGTAACCTGTTTTGCAAGACAGAGGGGTAGTCCTCGTGTTACGAGTTGGGGATTTAGAATATAGTTATACGTCTACCCAGATCCCAACAGGTAACAACAATAAAAAAAAACAAAGACAATCGGACTATAAAAGGGTAGACAAAGGATGCGAGTTTTCGTTGTATATAATAGAGTACCATAAATCCCCTAACAAAATATTCAGCTTATAAATTACCCTTAACCAAACTTAACCTAAACATTAACAGTATATACATATTAATACAACATAAACAATCTTGAAGCAAGTGGACGTGGGGGAGTTAATACAAAATACAAGTACTTAAGTGAGGAGCTGAGATGGCTGACGAGTAAGGCTGAGTATTGTAGAAGACGGTAGGTGGTCACTGCACGTAGGTTTAGAGGATAGATGATCCTGTGGTCACTTCCCAGAGCCAAGTCCTCTCTCCTCGAATTGGAGCTGACAAAGAAGACTTTGAGGAGGTGACGCAACAACCAGGATATGGAGAAGGGAATCCCCGGAGTGTTAACTAAGACGAGTCATACTCGTGTCTCGTCCCTAGATGGCGTTGCTCGTGGTGCTGGGTAGGTAGATCAGGACAATAGATGGCGTGGTTCGTAGTGCTGGGTGGAGGGGTTCGTAACACCTCGCCATAGGATAGGGGTGGGGGGTTGATTACACCAGCAGGAAGGTTTGGATCCCTACCAAAGTGAAGGAAGTAAGGAGTGTTATGCAGGGTGGTATTAATTGCGGTGTTCATGGCCAGTTGTGCAAGAGGTAGCTGATCGTCCCAACCGCCGTACTGATTATTAACCAGAAACGACAAGTGATCTTTCAACGTGCGGTGGGAACGCTC